ACTAGTAGGTTAAGACTGATCCAACCCTTTTTGTCCTCCAATGTTGCTAAGCATTTGTCCAGTTTCAGTAATAGTAGAGTTGTTTCTGAGCAAAAATTTGAAAAGAACTTAGCACATCAGATAGCAGTTGAATATTCCAATTCAAAGCAAAAGTGAACAAGCTATATGGGCTAAGAGAGAGACTAAAATTCTCTCCTAGGATGGCAGCGTGCAGAATGGATGCTCCATGCACTTCTCTGGTTTCTTCTAGGGGTGTAGGCGGTTTGGAAGGTTCAGATGCAATGTACAAAATAATGGAGGCTCCTTGCAGTTATATGGTTTTTTTTTCTTCTAGGAGTGTACGTGGTTTGGAAGGTTCAGGTTTAGCCTTTTCCTTGATACAGGTTCTTTTTTGGCGGTGAATATCTTTCAGCTTTGTGTATTTTACTATTTTACTTTCTCCTGTTTTTGTAATTGTAGTGTCTACTACATTGATCAATTGATCTAATAATGGCTCTGAAGCTAAAACTGAAGAGAAAGTTTAGGGATTCAGTTAAGATTTTTATTTGAATAAGTCCTAGTCTTTAGGATATTTGTTACATTTCCTTTGTTGCACTCATCACGTTAAGTAGTTGAACGTGAGCAGGTTTTTCTCATTTTCTGTTAAGTTTGTAAAGGCTATTTAAGCCTAACTTTGTCCAATAAAAGCTAAGTCACTTCCAGAATTGTTTAGTACCTTTTACTTTGTGTTTCTATTCTCAACATTCTGGTATCAAAGCCTCCATTGGACCTGACAAAAATAGAGCAGCAGTCTTTGATGTCTCTGCAGCAGCAAGATGACAACTAAAGGGAGCTTTGTGCAGCCATCCATTCCCCGCTTTAATGGTCACTATGATCATTGGAGCATATTGATGGAGAATTTCCTACGATCCAAGGAATTATGGGGACTGGTAGAGACTGGCTATGAGAAGCCAACAAATGAATCAATGCAGACAGAGGCACAACGAAAGAAGCTAGAAGAATTGAAGCTGAAAGATATGAAAGTAAAAAACTTCCTATTCCAGGCCATTGATCAGACGATATTGGAGACCATCCTTGTGAAGGATACTTCCAAACAAATTTGGGAGTCTATGAAGAAGAAATTTGAAGGGAGTGCTAGAGTCAAGAGGTCACACTTACAAGCTCTCCGCAGAGAGTTTGAAACTCTAGAGATGAAAACTGGAGAAGGAGTCTCTGAGTATTTTTCAAGAGTGTTGACAGTAGCCAACAAGATGAGAATATATGGGGAGCAGATGCAAGATGCTACAGTAGTGCAAAAAATTCTGAGATCGCTGAGTGAGAAGTTTAATTATGTTGTTTGCTTGATTGAGGAGTCCAAAGACATTGATCAACTTTCCATTGATGTGCTGCAAAGTTCACTGATAGTACATGAGCAAAAATTTCAGCGACATACAAGAGAAGAGCAAGCACTCAAGATCAGCCATGAAGATAGATTTGGTGCAAGAGGACGCGGTCGAGGTGCATACCGAGGTAGAGGAAGACGCCAGTCCTACAACAAAGCAATGGTGGAATGCTTTAAGTGTCACAAGCTTGGACACTATCAATCTGAATGTACAAGCTGGGATAAAGAAGCCAACTATGCTGAACTAGGAGCAGAAGAAGAGATGTTGCTCATGTCATATATGGAGATGAATGGTGCTCAAAGGGAAGATATCTGGTATCTGGATTCTGGATGTAGCAATCACATGTGTGGTGACAAGAGTTTGTTCACCGATTTGAATAAGGACTTCAGGCAGACGGTGTCTCTAGGAAATAACACAAAGATGAATGTGTTAGGCAAAGGCAATGTGAGATTGAAAGTAAGTGGCTTAATTCATGTTGTTAGTGAAGTATATTTTGTGTTTGAAGTAAAACGCAAACTGTTGAGCATTGGGCAACTACAAGAAAAAGGATTGGCAATTCTCATTCAACATGGAACGCTCAAGATTTATCATCCAGAGAAAGGGCTCATAATATAGACCGAGATGTCAACGAATCGAATGTTTGTGTTGCTAGCAAAATCACAACCACAAAAACCAACTTGCTTATACACTTCCACACAAGATATGGCACACTTATGGCATTGTCGTTAGGGACATTTGAGCTACAAGGGATTGAGAACTCTCTAATTTAAGAAGATGGTGCATGGGTTACCTCAGTTCAATTCTCTAACAAAAGTGTGTGCAAACTATATGATTGGAAAACAACATAGAGATCCAATTCCAAAAATAAGCAATTGGAGGGCCACAGAAAAACTTCAGCTTGTTCATGCAGATCTTTGCGGCACCATATCTTCCACTTCTAATAGTAAGAAGAGGTACATTATACGCTTTATTGATGATCTTACTAGAAAAGGATGGGTTTATTTTTTGGTAGAAAAATCTGAAGCATTAAGCATGTTCAAAAAATTTAAGAGCTGTGTTGAGAAAGAAGTAGGAGGATATATTAAATGTTTGAGAACAGATCGAGGAGGAGAGTTCACATCACTTGAGTTTAATGAGTTTTGTACAGAACATGGTATCAAGAGGCAATTGACTGCAACGTATACTCTACAACAGAACAGAATAGTGGAACGAAAGAATCGAACTGTGATGAACATGGTTCGATGTATGCTCGCTGAAAGAAAGATGCCAAAGACTTTCTGGTTGGAGGCAGTGAATTGGACAATACATGTTTTGAATAGGAGTCCTACATTGGCCGTGAAGAATCAAACGCCCGAAGAAGCCTGGAGCGGGAACAGACCCTCAGTTGAGCACTTTAGAGTTTTTGGATGTGTGGCGTATTTGCATGTTCCTGATGTGAGAAGGAAAAAGCTAGATGCAAAGAGCCTTGCTTCTGTGTTATTGGGAATTAGTGAAAAGTCTAAGGCATATAGGCTCTATGACCTTGTTGAAAGAAAGGTTGTAGTTAGCAGGGATGTAGTATTTGAGGAAGATAAATCTTGGAGCTGGGATAAGAGTTATGAAGAGCACATAATGATTGATTTGGAATAGGATGATAATACAACAGCAAACGCAGAGAGTGAGGAAGTAGTGAATGAGGAAGAAGAAGAAATTATTGAACTAGTTAGTAGTCCTCAAAATGATGAATATGATGGAAGAAACAGAGGGCCTCCCAGGTGGATTAGCGATTATGTAACTAGGGAAGGACGTTCGGAGGAAGACGAGGCAAATGTTAATTCAGCTATATTTGCTTCAACAGATCTAGTGTGTTTTGAAGAAACAGTAAATCATGACAAATGGAGGACAACTATGGACACAGAGATACAGGCTATAGAGAGAAACAACACATGGGAACTTACTGATCTTCCCAAGGATGCAAAGAAGATTAGAGTGAAGTGGGTTTATAAAACTAAACTCAAAGAAAACGGTGAAGTGGATAAATTGAAGGCTCGTTTGGTGGCAAAAGGGTATGTGCAACGACAAGGGATAGACTACATTGAAGTATTTGCACTAGTTGCAAGAATGGACACAATAAGAATGGTTGTGGCTCTAGCGGCACAAAAAGGGTGGACTCTCTATCAACTTGATGTCAAATCTGCCTTCTTGCATGGAGAACTCAACGAAGAAGTGTTTGTGGAGCAACCAAAGGGTTATGAACTGAAGAACAGCCCCTAGAAAGTCTACAAGTTGAAGAAAGCCTTATATGGGCTGAAACAAGCTCCACGAGCTTGGTTCAGCCGTATTGAAGCACATTTCTTAAGTGAAGGGTTCAAGAAGTGTCATACTGAGCATACGTTATTCATTAAAACGACTAAGGGAGGTAAGATTCTCATTGTTAGTTTATATGTTGATGACTTAATATTTACTGGCAATGATGAATTGATGTTTAGCGAATTTAAAAGCTCCATGTTAAGGGAATTTGATATGACTGATTTGGGAAAGATGAGATTTTTTCTAGGCATAGAAGTTTTATAGAGGTCTGATGGGATTTATATTTGTCAAAAGAAATATGCTTTAGAAGTCTTGAAGAGGTTTAAGATGGAAAATAGCAACTCGGTTCATAATCCTATTGTTCCAGGTTGTAAGCTTTTCAAAGATGAAAATGGAGTTCATATTGATAAGAGTTTGTTCAAGCAGATGGTAGGATGTCTTATGTAGCTAACATCTACGAGGCCAGATTTTATGTTTGCAGTGAGCTTGATTAGCAGGTACATGGCCAAACCAACTAAATTGCATTTGATGGTAGCCAAAAGGATACTACGGTACTTGCAAGGAACCATTGGACTTGGAGTTTTCTACAAGAAGGGAGGGCGTGAAGGTCTAGTTGGTTATACAGATAGTGACTATGCAGGAGATGTAGAAGATAGAAAGAATACATCAGGCTATGTTTTCATGTTAGGATTTGGAGCTGTTGCCTGGTCTTCAAGAAAGCAACCTATAGGCACACTTTCAACCACAAAAGCAGAGTTTGCGGCTGCAGCTGCTTGTGCTAGTCAAGCTGTTTGGATGAAGAGAATAATTGAGAAGCTGAGTCTAGAAGAAAGCAAGTGTACAACAATCTTTTGTGATAACAATTCCACGATTAAGTTGTCAAAAAAATCCTGTCTTACATGGCCGAAGCAAGCACATTGATGTGCGATTCCATTTTCTTCGTGATCTTACACGAGAAGGAGCAGTTGAATTAGTTTACTGTGGAACACAAGAACAGCTGGTAGATGTCATGACAAAGCCCCTCACAATGGATGCATTTCAGAAGTTTCGAAGTCAGCTGGGAGTTTGTCAAGGTCCCGATTTAAACCAGTTGTAGACTTGTAGTTGGTAACTAGTTTAAGGGAGGGAATGAAGAGAGAGTTTAGGGATTCAGTTAAGATTTTTATTTGAATAAGTCCTAGTCTTTAGGATATTTGTTGCATTTCCTTTGTTGCACTCATCACGTTAAGTAGTTGAACGTGAGCAGGTTTTTCTCATTTTCTGTTAAGTTTGTAAAGGCTATTTAAGCCTAACTTTGTCCAATAAAAGCTAAGTCACTTCCAGAATTGTTTAGTACCTTTTACTTTGTGTTTCTATTCTCAACAAATACTTCACCACTTTTGTTGTCCCATATGCAGCAGCTTTAAACAGCGGGATTTCGCCTTTGTCATTAATATCATGAGAGAGGTCTTTATCATATTCCACCAAGAGCTTTACAGCCTCAAGGTTCCCATTGGTAGCAGCCACATGAAGAGGTGTGTCTCTGTACTCGTTCTTGTTCCAAACTGTAGACATTGTCATAGGGTCATTTTCGGCAATATGAAGTAAAAGGTCAAGCCACTTTTTGCTATTGCTGCAAACTGCCAAGTGAAATGCAGTGTCCCTAGCGGCCGTTAGAGGAAGTGGCAAAGTAGAAGACTTTTGTTTGAAGAATGTCCAATCCTCCTCTAGGGCTGCCTGATAAGTCCTAAATGTTGATTCATTGCCCGTCGTCATTCTTCAATTCAAAACTTCCCTACGGCGGCAAGAAAAGAATTATTAATTTAATGGAGAATCCAACAAAATATTTGCAAAATATTTGTCGTATTAATTTTACCTAATCAGTCAATTGTATAGCTTTATGTTTCAGGTGAGAGTGATCCAGCTGGTTTACACACATATGACATATTACGGAAGATAGCTAATTAGTAACATATTGCAGCACCATCGGCCGTCAGGGAATATCACATGGTGAAGAGATAACGTATGAATTTTGCCCACCTAGAGGAAGATTAATGTTGTCCTCTAAGTTTAAAGTTTATTGTTCAAAATTTAATATTTTAGTTAATTACAAATATTTTGTCTCTAATACAATATTACATATGTATATCAAAGAATGCTTAAATTAACCTAACATAAAAGTACTTGATTATATATGGAAATTAACATTAATTTAATTTTAAAGTACAATTACGGCCAATGAAGTGTGTGTTATACCATTACTTATTACTATAAGTATTAACAAGTTGAAAGAAAACTTTAACAAAATTAAATAAAATATAATAAAGTTAAATGGTGTGAGTTTTACTAACCCCACTCACATGCTGTAATATTTGAAATTGAAAAAAATAACTAAACCAATAGTTTAGAGATGCAAAAGAAACCCGACCTTAACCCCGGGCTCGGGTTCGAGATTTTTAAGAAGGGAAAAATACTTTTTTCCACCCAAGGTTTGGTGAAACGACATTTTCCCACCCACCGTTATGTTCCGTTAGGCAAATCCGTTCTGAAAAAGGGTAAGATGGCCTATTTACATGAATCCCCAAAAATCAAAATTTAAAAATTGAAACTTCCCCTGAACGGTTGCCACGTGTCCCATTAAAGTACTTAGGAAAAAAGAAGGGAGAAGCCTTTTCAACTCGTTCTCCATAGTCTGTAACCCTCCCTGTTCTCAATAACTGAAGCACTGGCGACTTAGGGTTGCCGACTGCCGACTTAGGGTTGACGACTAACGAAAAGTCATTTTCCTTATCTCCTTGTTCTCAGCGACTAGCGACTTAGGGTTGGCGAGTGGCGGCTTACGGTTGGTGACTGGTAAGAGAAGAGATCGTGTGGAGAAAAATCTAGGGTTTCTTCGAAATTGTAGAACTACAGTGAGGATTATCACTACCTGCGGATTTAGGTATATTCCTAGATATATCTTTGCCCTCATTTTGCTTTTAAAAGATAAGTCTAAAAAATTTGTGTCAAAAATTTAACACTGTAGGTTGAACATGTGATATAAGAACAAAATGTTTTAGCTGCAACTAAATTCATTGAGCTATTTTCTGAGTTACTAGCGGCCAGACTTACCATCATTGCAAATGGAAAGCTAGTGTGATATTTGCCTTCCCAAGGTCCTCAGAAATTCTAGAATTAGTGACAATGAGGAATATTTTTGAGAAAAAAAATATGAGAAAGATTTTGTATCTGGAGCCTAATTCTGGAGTAAATCCCATGGTAATTAAAGATTTACAATTTGTAGATATCTCATTTTTTTAGATATACATTCATACTATTATAGAGCTTCTCATCAAACATGTTATCGAGATAGAGATGGTACATGCGGGAACATTTTGCATATTATGCTATGTTTGGCGTGTCATTGTATCTTTTCATATGACTTAATAGTGCTTGGTTTTGCTTACAGTTAACCGAGAAACTATGTCAGAACCCTGGAGAAGTGAAGTTAAAAGTGATGAAACAAATAGGAAAAGAATGTCAGATTGACTCTTACTCTTGAAACCTTGGTTTGGAAAATTATGTCTCCTTATTTTTTTATTTTTTTTTTTCCCCCCTAAAGCACCTATAAATATTTTGGCCTTAATATTTGATTTTCGATTGCAGATACACTATGATAGGATAGATGAGTGCAAAGAGTGATGTTTATAGCTTTGGTCTTATCCTGCTGGAACTCTTAACTGGGCGGAAGTTTGTTGATCATTCTCTGTCGTGTGAGCAGCAGAGCCTTGTGAATGGGTATGAATTTCATCTTTGTTCTTTTCTACCACTAACTTGTTTTGGAACGTACATATTTCTTCTATTTTGTTATTCTCTATGCTGATAGATAGCAAATTCACATATGTGTAAGCTTCATTCAAGCTGATTTTTATGCAATTCTGGATTGTTTTAGGCAACTCCAAAACCCAGTGAAGATAAGGTGAAGCAATTCTTTGACGCAGAGTTAAATGGAGAATAGCCTCCTAAGGCAATTGCAAAGGTACTGAAGATGGTAACTTTGACTGAAAATAATACATCAAATTCTAGTTTTCTTGGTGGAAGAGCAAAGGATTGTGAAGAAGGTTTTGAAGATCTAGAAAGCAAAGGAAAGTCAGGCTTCAAGGGTGCTAGAAAGCGGGAGGGTGAAAGCTAAATTTTTTGGATTTTAAGAAATGAATGAGAAACTGGAAAAGCTTCTTTCTTTGTATTGAATTCCCTATTTTTATTGGGTTTGAATTGACAAAATTATTTATACATATGCATTGTAATTTTACAATTTGGATTCTTATTTAAGAATATAGTAATGTTGATACTTAGTGTTATTTGGATTTAAATTGACAATTTAAATATAAATGTGATGCAACAACTACAAGGATAAATTGGTAATTTTAAAGGTTTCAAAATTTTAAAAATCTAATTGTAATTTCATTTATTTGAAACATCATTTTTAATAAAATAATGGAGGGATAAATTGGTTATTTATATTTTCATATACAGTTAAGGGCATATTAATAATTTTGTATTTAAGAGTGGTTATATTGGTAATTGACTTTGTTAACATGACATATAATTAAAAAAATTATTAAATCAAACAATAAAGGGTATTTTCGTCTTTGCAATCAATAGTAACAGATTTTGTTAACGGAACATAACGGTGAGTGGAAAAGTGTCATTTTGAAACTTCATGGGTGGGAAAATGTTGTTCTCCCTTCTAAGAATTTGATTTTGACTTGAAATCTCCGGTTTCCCAAAAAACAAGCATACCGATATACAACCATTTTACTACACTAGTTGACTAGGCTCAGTCCACTTCAAATACCCACCCAACGTTACCAAAAGACAACATTGAGAGCAATTTCTGTTATTAGACAATATCTTGAAAAGTAACGTAGAAAACAATATTTTTTATATCATAAAAAATCAGTAATCTTTCAACAATTTTTAAATATATATACCTGAAAGTGCGAGCTTTTTGAAATCACTTGAGTCCAACTATGACCGAAATTCTTCACGCGTTAGAGAGTGGGGAGAGAAGAGATCAAGAGACACACCACAAATAGCCTACCGGTAGATATATGTTTGAGGAGAAAAACTTCAACTACACAATGGAAATTATCTTAATGGATTGATTTTGGAGATATTTTGGTAGTTTGAGAATATTTATGAGGCCTTGACGCAATTAAAAGAGGAACATGGAAACACTGCTCTGCACGAAGTGGCCACCACTGACAGTGTTGATGCTGCGGAATTCTTGGTTAAAATGCTCCGGGAGTCCATCGATGGAACGGAAGAGATCATTGAAGATCATGAAATTGACCCCTCACGCAAGCTAGAACAGTTTCTCAAGGTATGTTTTTATCTATTGTAGATACACTTTTTAATATAACTTTCATTCACATTCACAATGGGTATCTATACCCATTAATAAAATAGAAGCATTCTTTAAGATATATATATATATCTTCAAAAAACTAGCTAGTATTATACTTAAAAATGAATGGAGAACAGTTGTAATTCTTTCATGTATGCTGTAATCACAGGCATCGCCATTTGGTTACTAAAAAGGCACAAACAACTTGGAGAAAGGAGGGACATGAATGGCCTGACAGGTTTTCACATGCTAGCTTTTATGCCATTAGCTTTCAGAAGTACAAGCCACATAAGCATACCAAAGAAACTCATCTATTATTGTAAGTCTTCATACTATAGTTTGTGGTATTATATTTTTTTTACTGCCAGGCATTACTTCCCTCATTTTTTATCCCAAAACCCAGATTAATTCTTTAGAATTCCGTTTCATTTTAATTTCAGGCCTTCCGAAGCCTGATCATGATTATGACGACGACGAAGCGCTAGCTCAGCTTCCATCAACTCAGAGAGAAGATGTGGAAACTGGGATGAGAAGCAGTATCTTTCAGCAACCAAAGAAACGTGGAGGTAATTGATGAGTCAAGTTCTTTCATAAGTGAAGGATATTTGTAGAAATTTCTCCGATGTACTCACTATTTGTAGTTGCCTGATTAAGGTTTGATAAAATTCCCTACAATAGACTTACCCAAAAAAAAAAAAAAAAAAAAAAAAAATTCCCTACAATATGATTTCACTTTCATATTTTGTTGTAACTTAATTTATTGCCATCAATTACGACAATAATTGCATATTTTTATTTATTTTCATGCACAGTATGGGCAGCCATCGATGCAATTTGGAAGGAAAAGAATAAGCATGAATCGGCTCTCAGGCTGGCTAAGTTTCTAGGTATTATGCAGGACTTTTTCAAGGAATTTCAGAAGGTTCTTCCTGGGAAGAAGAAGAAGAAATATTGATACTCTTTCTGTAGCTTTATGTATCTGAATTTCCTTTTTATATTAATGGTGTGTGTAATCTATAAGTATGCTATCGCTACACTGATGCATGTGTTGAGTCATTTTGCGAGAGAAATAAGGTATTTTTTTAACAGATATGAGTTGAGACTATAACGCAATTTGCGTAACGATAAATCTGTTTTCAAGAATAAGACATTTTTCTTCTATACACGTAATAGATGCAGTAATCGGTATTGTTAAATTTCAATCTCAACTCTATATAGAAGAGTTAAAAAGGAGATTATATAGACTCTGGCAATGAATATTCCTTATTAAAGGAAGAACTGAAAAAGGATATTAAACAATTAGTAGAGGTTAAATTGTAATCATAAACACTTATATGAAGATGATGTAATTTATCCTTTTAGTGATAAATGCTTAGCTTCTCAACCCAATTTATCTTACACTTGATCATATAATATTTTTTTGGCCGTTTTGAAATCGACCAAAGTGTCAATCAAGAGATTCTTCTTTCTAGGTACTGTCTCTCTGCCATTCTGTTTCCCCTCTGCAGAAACACACAACTCTTTCATCACATGCTTTAGTAACAATATGAACAGGGTCGCCGACAATAAAAAAAATATCGGAAGAAAAGAGGAAGCATAAATTGGCCATTGAACTCGCCAAGACTCTAATAGCCAAAGATACTTCGTCGGATAATAGTAGTATAGATGACGTTACCTCATCTTTCATAGTCGGTGAAACGCATGAATTAAGTAACTCCAAACAGGAAGTGGGAGTATGACAAGTAGAATCTGGAGCTGAACAGAAAAAAGTTTCAAGAAGGAAAAGGAAGGTTCGACCTCATCAGACTCCAGAGCTACTGGCTCTGGCTCTGACTCTGCCCTTCATGAAGAAAAAAAGGCAGATAAAGAAGGAAGAGAAGAATCTTAGCCAGAAGTATGAGAAACTCCATTGCTTGATGTAGGAACATTATTTAGATTCTTGAAGAATCAACCCATCGAAGTGCTTTCTCCTCTCAATTTGCAACTCCCATTATCAAATTCTCTGAAATTTCTCAATGAGATGACCACCACCATGATAGATTACCATTGTCATCACTTACACAAACGGTGGCACAGACAAAAATTCAATTCCCAAAATTGATCGCTCTGTACTTAACAAATCGAAGTCGCAAACAAACCTTCTCACGGTTCGGTCTGGCCCATCGCAATTCCTTCCAAATTCTTCCACAATTTCCTTTCGTAACTCTATCGGAAACCTTATTTCACTCCGGAAGTCTCTCCTCAAAGTTTAACTTCACGTATTCTGATGATTATCTCTGAATGACTCTGAAATCATCCATGAAGATATGGAAGCTCTGCCGTTAATTGTTTCTTGTTAATATTTAATTATTAGTTGTTTCAATTTTCTCTGACTGATTGTTCTCTACTTCTCTTTGCCGCTTAGACTTCGCTCCCATGTTGATGCAGTTGTCGTTAGCGGTATTATTAAGAGGAAATGAAGTGTTGACTGGGAATTAGAGAAAGGGAGTTTGAATTAGGTAAGTAACGTAATTGTGTTTTGAAATGGAAAAAGTATAGTATTGTATCGTATTAATAATAATCAATATTTGTTATAATAAATATAGTAAAACTTCTTCATAATAATACTTTATATAGGAATAACTTTTACGAAGTTATAAAAAATTTGAATCCAATTTGGGCTAACTAGAAATAAAAATAAACTATTTATTATAATAAATTATAATTTTTTAGGTCTCATCTTAAGAAATTTCTCTTCAAATAGTAATAATTATCTATATATTGCAAAAAATATATGTTATATTTTATTAAAGGTTTAAAATAAAATAAAATATTTATCTAAAGTTGTTTGAGATAATGATTTATGATTTAAAATTATAACCATATTTTTTAACTTATGGATACGTAATAACTTGTAAGCATGAACACTTTCTTATGGAAGCTAAAAATATTTCTAAGTTCTCAAACATAACTAAGTTAAAATAATAATTTTTGTAACTATATTTCTATTAAGTTATAACCTTTTCACGTTCGTGCTTTTTCTTTTTGCAGGTTCATCCGATTGTTAGTGACTCGCTTCACACAAGATCAATCCTTTCTGAACCAACCGTTTTTACCGTCTACAGTCCTATCATTATAACTATAGAGAGATTTTACTATATGGAAAATCCTACATCCATAACCTCTTCTCACAAGCTTCTTCTCACAACTTCAACATAGCAGCCCGTAATAGATGCTATCTAGGTTTTCAACTAATAAATTGCCATTGACCAACCAATAACAACGTCGTCGTTACAATGCATGTGTCGTAAGTGATTTATTATTAAACGTTAATGGAAGTGTTTGAATCAGGAAGAGCATGCACGAAAGAAGAGGAAAGGTGTTTTGTTTAGAAGAGTTTATGCTTTTTAATGATGTTGGGTGTGCCAGCTAACTCGATGTTATGTTGAAAATTGATATGGTTGTTAAAATATTAATGTCATATGAGAAGTGGGATAATGGAGGAAATAATAATAAACAATATTAAGTATAAAAAAATTTATATACAAACTATTTTTAAGTTATTCAATCATTTTGTATATTTAATATTATATATGTATATGGCACTAGAATTTTTTTGTAGAAAATTTAATAATTTATCTTAAATCATATCTGTTGGGTCTTAAATCAACAAGACACACACCATTAATAAGTATTCAGTAGGAAATTAATAAATATACAAGCCTTTTATTAAATTCCAACACAAGTCTCTTGCATCCGTGACATATCAGCCTCCTTTACCATTTCAAGCAACTTACATAAATTAAATCCCTCATACTAGATCATCATTCATCGGAAGCTTCTTCTTATAACATTGAGACTTGGTCCCCAGCCGCTTCTTAAATCGTTTACGAGGAAGAACCTTCTTAATCGACTTGTAAAACTTGAGAAAAGTTAGGTTAAATGCAACATACATAGGGAATTGCGTGAATGCAAATATGCTTACCGGGAAAAATGCAACAGTGTAAATGAGAGTGGTGGTCCAATGTGGCTTTTGGAAATGAACAATGAGCAATTATGCTACTGTGAATGAAAGCATTGTTGTAGTCAATGCAATGAAGAGTAAGGAGAAGCCTATTGTCAGTTTTCGAGGGAGCCTGTGAAGGAATTCTTCATAACTAAAAGGCGAAGTGAGGACGGATAAGAACATTACCACCGAGGTCAAGGAGCAGGCTAAAGCAACAACGTCCATGACTGTGAAAACCAAGAAGAAATTGTTGTTGAGGAAAATTGGATAACCCTTATCATTGGAACCTCCAAGTACAGTGTAGGTAGCTGCAAACACCACGGTGGCAACGAGAATAGCCACCACAGAGCAAGACTGAGAAGTCTCTTTTACCCATTTATGTGCTTCCTTGAGTTATTCATTATGCTTCAGGTGGAATGGCTCTTTGCAATTATAATTCTTCTGATCTTTATTGTCATCTTTTGCACTTACAAGGAACATGGCAAAATGGGCAAGTGCTAACTTCTGCACACGCTGCATATATGCACAAACATAAGATAAGATAGAGTACATTCCATGGAAGACTTAATTAGTTAACTCACCATTAATTTTTTTTTTTTTTTTTTTTTTTGGTATGTATAGAAGACTACCAATCTTTGTCAATCCAAGAATCAATTCAACACAAACAAGAATCAAGAATCACACACACAAAAGACAATATTTACCGTGGTTCACCTATCCAATGTTGGATAGATTACATCCACGTTGAGCTCCGAAATACGGAGACTCACTGCACTAGGATTATTCAACTTTTACACAACGATTACAAGATTGATCTATTGAATTTGACAAATACAATCACCCAGACTTAATCACTCTAATCCCGTACCTATAACTCGCAAGATTTCAGAGCACTACTCTAGCCTTTGAAGGAAACGCAGCCTTCAATCTAATCCTGCCTAGAATTACAACGAAATCCCCACAACAACTAAGCCCTAATCAGTTTCTCAAACACTTAAAGAATGAACCCTAACAGAAAAGACTAACCCGATAAAATTATCACTGTTTTTCCCCCTTTTATATTATTGACTCTTAACAAATGTGAGTCGCACGATCTGCCTTGAATCAATGTCCAGGATTCACTTCTTCAACTAAACCCAAAACGACACCAAAGGCTTCATAATACTTTCAGTCTCCACCTTGAAGCCAACATTTTGCCTTTCCCCTTTCTGTTGAACCTCCTCTAGTGTAGTAAGTTTCTTTCATATTTCTTCTTAGCTCTAAGAATTGACTAACTGATGTGTAGTAAGTTCAAGCAATGCTTGAAGTTCGTTGTTGTTACCATTTTGGTTCCCATGTCGGTTGGGTTTTCTTCAGTTGGTACCTTCAGGAGATTTAATTTTCCTTTTGCAATCAGATCTCTGAAAAAATGATGTCTGACATCCACGTCTTTTGTCCTTTCATGATATACTAGGTTCTTGCTCAAGTGAATGGCACTTTCACTGTCTTAATAGACAGTTGCAGTGCCACTTAGCAAGTTTGCTTCTTTTAGGATTCCCTATAACCATGTTGCTTCCTTGAAAACATTTGAGACTGTTACAAACTCAGCTTCTGTGGTTGATAATGCAACCAGTGGCTGCAACTGTGATTTCTAGCTAACACAGTTGCCCCCCAATGTGAAGTCGTATGCTGTAGTAGACTTTCTGGAATCTCGGTCACCTGCAAAATCAGCATTTACATACCCAACCAGATTAAGTGATGCATTTCTTTTACAAAAAATCAAGACAATCTGAACAGTGTAGTTTATATATCTAAATAACCATTTTATGACATTCCAATGTTCATATCCAGGATTTGACATAAATCTACTCAATAGTGATATTGCATAAGCCAAATCCAGTCTGGTGTTTAACATGGCATACATCACAAAACCTATGGCATTCGAATAAGGGATATTTTCCATTTTTAACATATCAAATTCTGTTTTGGGGCATTGTGACTTACTGAGGATGAAGTGGTTTGCAAGGGGCATTGTTACAACTTTGGAGTCAGCCATGCCAAACTTAGAGACCAGTT